TTAGTTAAATTTAATTTTAGGGTAATTCTAACGTTTTTGTAAATAATTTAAAATCAATTAGAAAATTAGGTTTTGATTCTTGATTTAATTTTTAGTTCTTTTCTCAATAAAACAAAATACAAAAATAGGTCAAACTAATTATTTTTCTTCTTCTTAATTTAAATTAATTAGTGATTAGATTTTTTTATTTATTTATTCAATTAAACCCTATTTTTCTCAAAATAACGTAAAAACCACAAAAATATGATTTTTCTTTCAATTAGGTTTAGACGGGGTCAAAACCCTAATTTTTTCTCGTTCTCGATTCATCGCGCGCATTTATTATTTTTACGATATTAATGTAACTGCTCATGGTATGTAATAGTTTAATTAAGATTTTTCTTTTATTTATCGTTTTGCAGGTTTTTGGCTATGTAATTAATCCCCTACCCCGAAGCCTTGTAATAACGTAGGTTTTATTTCTCGCATTTTAATTCTCGCCAATATTAACTGTTAGATGTATGGTAATAGGATTGCATGACAAGACTGTATGTTAATTTAAAATGGTTAGCAAACCCTAATATGCAAATATAATAACTTGAAATTAAATCATTCGCACATGCGCACTCCTAGGGTATACTCTCACTTCGGTTGCCTTCGGTAAACGATAATTAAGTATAGGATATTTTAGTGGTCGCCCTCCTGTCTAAACAAAGATCAAATGTCCCGTTCGGAAATGTTGCCTCGAAAATGTTGCCTCGAATATGATCTTAAGACATTAGGGTTATTACTAAGACGTCCTAACATTGCTTTAGTGATCGTTCGTCCCTTTCGAATTGACCCTTACAACTCCAACGACGGTGCTACCTATTTCTCAATAGTAGGATAGTATTGTCTAAAGGAAACAAGAACATAAATAATCTTTTTTCGAGTAGGTAGATACTATTAGGTACTTGCTCAAAATCAAACTTTTTCACACCAAACACTTTTCAAATAAAGTTTTCAAAAACACTTCGTAACACTCTTGAGGACTGATACAAGGGTTAAAACGAAGTAAAACAAAAACTTTTCAAAACACACAAACACGGAAGAATTTTTTTTTAAATGATGAGCAAGTACCTAAGAGCCCGTAGAAAACTACGGATAGAAAGGGTGCTAATACCTTCCCTTTCTATAATCTACCCCCCCGTACTCAAAATCTCGAAAAAGGAATTTTTCTGTGCTTTTTTTTTTCCTTTTCGGTTGGATAAAATAAAAGTCGGTGGCGACTCTTGCTTACCGCGACATTTTGCAAACACAAACGCAAAATGCAAACCAACATTTTCTCAAAATAGTCTGGTTCTACCACCGTATCACAATTTTGATTAAACTTCTAACAGCTATATACTTTTATACTCAAAAAGGGTCGTTCTTTTCCTCATATCCTTTAGACAGTGCTATCCTACTATTAGTGAGTAGATAGCCCTATCGTTGGATGTATTAGGGACATTTGAAGGGACATTACAGTCACGAAGGCAGTTTGTGGAGACACTTTAGAAATTTTGTTTAGGGACTAGATCATTTATCGAAAAGGCAATTGTAGGGTCATCGAGAGACTATGATCTTTTTGATTTATGGGTCTTTGCTAAAACGTTCCTGCATTTTATTTTTAAAGGCAACCAAAGTGGGGTACTCTAGAGGTGTATATGTGCAAGTGTGTTATGTTCAATTATTTTTGTCTTTTTGTTAAGTTTGCTAGCGTTTTAATTTCAGTCTTGCCATACATGCCTAGTGACTAGCAATTAATATGTACAGAATATAAAGTGCGGAAGTATAAACCTACACTATTACATGGCTTCAGAGAGGGGGATTTACACTGTACAATGCTTTAGGGAAAAAATAAAGAAAGCAGCAAAAAAGTCCTACTTAATCTATTACATACTGGTATACAGTTACATTATTATAAAAAATGTGAGAACAAAAATAATGCACGCGAAATGAATATTACGTCTAAAAGAAGACTAAGAAAATACTAAGTAAAAAAAATCCTTTTTGATTATTTTTATTTTAAGAAAATAATTAAATTGAAATGGCCCTAAAGTCTATTTGGAAAATAAAATTAAATAAGAAAAATAGTCTAAATTCTTCTTTAGTTTTTTTATTATTTAAAGAAAATAATTAAACATAAGTTAAGTCCTAAGTTCTAATTTATTTTTAATTAAAAAAATAGTTAAAATAGTTATTAATTAATTCACAAAATTAATTTAATTAAAAAAATAAAACTATATTTTTTTATGATTTTATTATTACATTATACTAATTAAATAAATGAAGAAAACAAATTAAAATAAAAAATATATATAAAGCAAAGTGACAAAAACAATACGAAATGGGCCAGGATAATTACAAATTGGGGGTGCTGAAATTGAATTTTGCTAGGCCCAAGTGAATGTTAAGCCCAGGCCACGCTGGATCTGGTGAGATGAGGCCTTGAGGGCGCATGGTGGATCTCAAATTAAAGCCTTTAGATCTAGACCCCTTATGATTTGAAGGCTAGATCTGATGGTGTTTGATATACTTCTAGTCATGTAATGCATCAAATCTGCATGAAACAAGTTAGAAAATATAAAAATGGAGCTTACTGAGGCGTTTTGTGATGTTTCAGGGCTTGCTAATGATTGCAAAAGCTTCAGGGAGCCTCTAGGAATGTATTTGGATCTTTTGTTTGGACTGAGGAAGACTGAAACCTAAAATGCGAGTTTTACAACTTTGATATTTTTTGCAAAATTTGTAGAGCTTTTCCAGGCTGTATATCATGTGTCTTGAAGCTTTCTAATGTGTCCTTTATATTTAGAGGAGTGAGAAGACAAGAGAACAAAGGTAATAACAACCATAAACATGTGTTTTTAAAGTCATGGATGATGTTTTGTAACTTTGCCAAAGACATGGAATCTTGTCCTTTTTGAATTTGAATGAATGTGGACATTGTTTGCACGAAATTTCATGGGCCTAGGCTGTCCAAAACATCAACCCAAAGCTCAAAGCCCATTTCCAATTATTTTATACATTTTATTTTATATTTATTTAAAATAAAATAAAATAAATATGAATAAAATAGTTAGAAAATGCAAGGCATGGCAAGAATAATTTTAGAGGTCCTCTATAGGTTTAGGAAGATGTTTTAAGTCCAAGAAATTAAGCCATTTACCTAAAACTTCAAGTTTGCTCAATGCATAATTCTTGAAAATTCCTAAATTTTCTCAACTTGGGAAAGTCATAACTTTCTCAATTTTCATCTCATGATGATGATCTTGGACTTTTTAAAAATACAAAGCTGTCTACCTCAATCCCTCTTTTTATCAATTTTGCATTTGAATATTTTATCTTTATGTAAATGGTCTTGACAAAAAGTGTCTTTTGTTGATTTTCTGAAAATGAGTTGTAATATATAAGCTTGTATCTTTCAAATGATAAATTTATTGGACTTTAGGGTTGAAGAGAAGTTGTATGGAATTGGATTCTATTCAAAATGAGCTTTGGTTGGGAAAAAATTGATGAAGTATGAGAAAGTTATGCTTGGTTAAAGTTTGGTTGACTTTTCCTATAGAAACCCTAATTAGCAATTCTTAACTTTTGATGAATTAGGAGCATTTTTTGAGGGATCATGATCAATCCTTGATCAAATGATGGATATCACTTCAAAATGTTGATGTTGACCAATTTTTTTGAAGTTTGACTGTATATAGACCATAGTTGACTTTTGACCTAGTATAGTTGATTTTCAAGTATTTGAGCAATTGACTGAGCAAACTTGTAGTGCAAGGTATGAAATTTGTCATGGATAATCTTGAAGACATATTAGGACCATGGAAGACATTTGAGACCTTTGGAGCTCACACATCTTGGTGAAAAATGAAACCCTAGTTGGAAGGCCAATGCTTAGGAGGAGAATTTGTCTGATCAATTCTTGGTCAACCTTAAGCAATTGAGGACCTCTATGAGTATATCTTGTGTGAAAATGAGAGGGTAAATTTTAGGGTACAACACTTTTATTTTATTTTAAAAAAATTAATAAATAACACTGTCAAGCCAAGGAGGATGGCGCCTCCTATCTGAAAATACATGCACGCGCCACACTGCATGGTTTTACAGAGGAAGACAAGCCATGCAGTGTGGCGCCTCCTCTTTAAAATGCATGCATGCGACACACATAGTGGCTACTCCTCTGTGTGGCGGATTTTTTTTATTTGAAAAATAGTCAGTTTGATAAATTTTTTAAAAAAGTGATTATTTGAGAAAAAAAATTTAAAAATATAATTATTTAAAAAAAAATTCTTACTTTTCTTAATATCTGTGTAACCACATTAAACGATTATTATTTTGAAACAAAGGAAGTATGCACAAATTACATAAAACTATAGAAAAAATGAAAAAGATATGCTATCACATATGATGTGGTGGGAGCACCTTAAATTTTGTCTTTAATAAGTTTCAGTGCAATCTCTTTATCCTTCACACGTACTACGCTTTTCTCTTTCCACCTTCTCATCTCATCATTTTTGAATTCCCATGTCACTTTCGCTTCTACTCTAATTTTTCTTCTTTTTTGGCGCTCTCTCTTTTTCTAACATTGATGATCATTTTAAATTCTAATAATAATATAAATTAATGCAACCACTAGTATATTATTATATCATCATCACATGTCATATATCATATAGATTATTATATTAATTGCTGCTGCATTCTTCTCAAATTTCTCACTATCTTTACCAATTTCAGGTTCTTTTCCTCTAAACATCTTGTGCATGATCTTGTTTTTTTTTTTTTTTTTTTCTATTTAATTTTACATATTGAATATAATTAATTGTTCATGCTACTTGTAATTCTCTTTTCATATTTTTTATTTATTTCTATCTTTGGGTTGCATGTGTGGTAAAGTTAATAATAAACTATTTATCCTTAGAAGGGGTTGATGATTCAAACATCATAGATATGTTTATTGTGTAGAATTAAAGAAAATCAACAAACATCTAGCTGCAATGTGTTGTTCTTTATTACAAATTTATTCCTATTGTATGGTTGGTGTTATTTATGTTTCTTATACAACTACTTGTTTAGGTTTGATAATTTTGAAAATTTTGGGTTTGTTTGGAAATTATGAGTGTCTTGGTGAGGGAGGTAAATGTTTGTCAGAGGGTTTTAATTGTTTACCTGATAACAATCTTGCTCTATTTCTATGTCTAGGTATTGTTGTTTGGAATTGGGTAGAGCTTTTATTTACCAGTTTAGCTAGCATAAGCGATGGTATTCTGTCAATGACAGTAGGAGGTGAAGTGGTTTAAGTTCAAATGGAGCAGTATGAAGTTCTAGAGCAGATCGGGAAAGGTGCATTTGGTTCTGCGCTGCTTGTGCGGCACAAACATGAAAAGAAAAAGTGAGCGTAAATGTGATTTAAGATATTGTATCTATTCTTTTGCTGGTTGATTTTTGATGTTTTTATATGTCAATGTATGCATTTCACCATACACTGATTAACTTTGTTATATCATATGATGTTATTTACGTTTTAGGTATGTCCTCAAGAAGATCCGTCTTGCTCGCCAAACTGACAGAACCCGCAGATCGGCTCACCAGGAGGTAATCCACTCCTTTTACTTCCTATTTTGCAGTTATTTGAGGAAAATGGAATCAAGTTCTTGAGTGAAACATGATATTTGTGGTGTCCTCTATATTAGATTGTAAGATGCCATGATAGTTTCTTGTTTTGTAGATGGAGCTTATATCAAAAGTTCACAATCCGTTTATTGTGGAGTATAAAGACTCTTGGGTAGAAAAGGTCAGCCTTGTTTGCTTTCGAAACCTTCTAATTCTGTTACAATCTTGATTGATTTATGATGCTTAGCAACTTGCAATCTTTATATGCAGGGTTGTTTTGTATGTATTATCATCGGCTATTGTGAAGGAGGAGATATGTAAGTCATGTTTCTCACTGAATTCGATTATTTGACAACGTGAGAGCGTCTGTGAAGACACTTTTGTCTTTTAAATTTTAATTATCGATTATTCAGTCTTTTAATAATTTGTTAATGGTCTCCAGGGCTGAAGCTATAAAAAAGGCCAACAGTGTTAACTTTTCTGAAGAGGTTCGTCACTATTGCCACAATTCCCTTAACTTCTCAGTCCGATGGATAATTTTCATTCACATTTAAATGTTCTGTGGAACTATATGAAGTAATCGATATCTTTCATCTTTTGACAGAAACTCTGCAAGTGGCTTGTCCAGTTACTGATGGCACTAGATTACTTACATGTAAATCATATTCTTCATCGTGATGTTAAGGTAAAAGACTTCTTTAAGTTCAATAACATTAGATGTTATATAGATAATATCGTAGAGAGCTTTTAGAACCATCTTTGTGCTGATGTTATTTTCTCATCTCTTTCAGTGTTCAAATATATTCTTGACGAAAGATCAAGATATACGTCTAGGTAGATGACTTTCTCATTTTATTTTCATACAGCTCTTAGACTTTATTAATGTTTAAGAGCTTGCTTGTCTCAATTTTGTAGTATGCTATCCTTATGTTGCGCATGTTCGACGCAGGTGATTTTGGTCTCGCTAAAATGTTGACTTCTGATGATCTTGCTTCCTCGGTGAGTAATACTGCAAAATTAAAATACCGTGTTATTTATCGTTTCAGTGGTTCTTTTTGGATTAGTGACTTTTTGTTTTTGCATTAAACTTAGATTGTTGGGACTCCAAGTTATATGTGCCCTGAGCTTCTTGCTGATATACCGTATGGCTCTAAGTCAGATATCTGGTCTTTAGGTATGATACTTCTTTTGCAATCCCTTTAGTCCCACTTTTTCTTTCGCGCATCTTACAATACGCTTTTAATTTATTATGACATGTAACATTATCCAGGATGCTGTGTTTATGAAATGACAGCTCACAGGCCAGCTTTCAAAGCTTTTGTAAGTCAATATTCTAAACATTTTTATTCACCGTTTATAAACAAATGAAATGTTATTGGCAAAACTTTTTAAACCTCGTGTAGTAGAGCTTACTAGTTTTTCCGTAGTTCTCTTAAAACTCGAACATTCATGATGGTGTCTGAGACTTTGAATCGTAAAGTTATTGACTTTAATTATTAATATCTGTGTGTTGCCTTCGTCTGAACAGGATATACAAGCATTGATTCACAAAATAAACAAGTCTGTAGTATCTCCACTGCCAACTATGTACTCTAGTGCTTTGTGAGTCTTTGTTCTATAATAATCTTAAGTTATTACAACTATCCTTTTTTCATGCTTTTATATCAGCGCCCTTACCTGCTAAATTTGAAAAGGGTTGACAGTTTGTTTATGAGTGTGAATACACGCATATGCTTACCGAATTAACAATGAGTAACGGCCATTCTATCCATATGCTACTAAATTTTGATGTGGAAGTGGAAATTTATGTTTTCTTCCATGCACGAAGTGCTCATTTTGATGGTTAAGAGTAGAGCTATTAAAACTTGACTGCATTATTCTAATTCTAAATGATCGATTCACATAACATTACCATTTGTTGTGTAACTAATTGTGATATATTTACTTTTTCAGCCGAGGGCTTGTCAAAAGTATGCTGCGGAAAAATCCAGAGCTAAGGCCAACTGTAAGTTTTATCTTTTGAATATACTATTCATTCATCAAGACCTGATCAATAGCTATGAATTGGTCTCCAAAATAAACATGGTGTGCAAATATTAATGTCTTTGTGGCATCTAATTGTATGTAAGTGACGAATATGAGCCCGGTATTATTACAGTCTGATTAATCTCGATGCAGATTTTGATTTTGCGCTCTTAACTTTTTCACTTTTAATTTTTAATAACAATTTTAGCTCTTAGTTTTTCGCCTTATATGTTGTAAGAAAGAAATTCTACTTGATTATCTCTCTACAGTTTATTTTTGTGCTTTATTCGAAACAACTAAACCGCAGTTTGTTTTAACAGGCTGGAGAGTTACTAAATCATCCACATCTTCAGCCGTACATTCTTAAAATTCACCAAAAACTAAATAGCCCCAGAAGAAGCACTTTTCCATTCCAATGGTCCGAGTCAAACTATGCAAGGAGAACTCGCTTTGTGGAACCCGAATCTGTTTCTACACTTTCTGACCAAGACAGATACTTGTCCCTAAACAATCACAGGGCCTTGAATCCTAGTATTTCTGGAACTGAGCAAAGTTCTCAATATTCAACTCAAAGAGCTCAAGGATTATCCAATTGTTCAGAAGAAAAGCTCTATAACTTATCTTCTGGCGGTATCCGTGATTACTGTAATACTAACAAATCAAAAGCGATAAAGTCCTCAACTGGTGAGAGAACACCAAGAGTTAGAGTAGCTAAGGATTCTGCTGGTGCCAGAAGACAGACATTGGCACCGCCAAAGATATCGGTTGCTGGTTCAAAGCGTGAATCAGTAAGTTTATCCTCTTGAAGGATCAATATTTTAATTTATGTTTATATCATGATGATACATTAAGGCTACTTTATTGATTTCACTGTTTGGTTATTGTTTCAGCTTCCAGTACCTCGCGCACCATCTGGTAAATCTACCATGCCAACTCGAAGAACATCTCTTCCGCTGCCTACAAGAGGCAGAAACAAAACAAACTTATACACCAATGCTAGTTATGTGGACTCTCCTGATGTTTCTGTTGATGCACCACAAATCGACAAGATCGCAGAATTCCCAATGGCTTCGTATGAGGATCCATTCTTTCATGTTATTCGCAGATCGTCATCACCATCAGCCAAACGCTTTTCTAGCTCCGCAGGGAGTGCTGATTGCACAATCACAAAAGACAAGTGTACAATCCTTGTGGACAAAGTTGCTGTCCCCGTTAGCATCACTGATGCTGGCAGCGGTGTTCCATTTCCAAATGGCAGTGCCAATGAATGCTCTAACAATGTTACAACCGGCATTTCAAGCCACTCCTCATCTGAGTCGCGTCAGCATCGGTTTGACACCTCGTCATACCAGCAACGTGCCGAGGCATTGGAGGGGCTACTGGAGTTCAGTGCTAGGCTGCTACAACAACATAGGTTTGATGAGCTTGGTGTATTGCTGAAGCCATTTGGGCTCGAGAAGGTTTCTCCAAGGGAAACAGCTATTTGGTTGGCCAAGAGCTTTAAACAAAACTCTTAAAGATTTTCTCATACACTTGTATGGTCATTGCCATGGGATTGTGTACATTAATATCTTTGTATATGTGTTATGAAATATGAAGAGTGCTTTGATCATCTGCAATAAACTTTTGGTCCATAAACCAAATATGTTAAATAAAACGGTCTAAGCTTAAAATTAAATAAATGACAAATTTGAGAAAAGAGTTGATATATCAATGATGTTCTAACATTACCCAAGATTAGTTAATGTAATATTAGTACTTACAAATCAGATGCCTTGCGTTTCTATTGATTTTGCAATGATATATACACAATGTAAGTTTCTATATCTCTCTTCTATATAATTATGACTATTCTATAAATAGAGATACTAATACTAATAACAATGATATTCTAATGATAACAATGATATTCTAATATACTCCCGTTGTCAAAACGAAAGACTGACGAATGTGAAGATGTCAGCAATTTGATAACTCGAAGGAACATGCAAGACTCGTACTTGGCTGCGAGCAATTCTTTTACGCACAAAATGTATATTCATCTTGATGTGTGTTAGTGTGTTGATGTTAAACTGGGTTGTCAGATAGATAGATACCATTCACATTGTCACAATAGACTAAAATGTTAGTTCTATGTTTTTATGGTTGGCTAAATTTTGGTTAGGCATGTTTCCGAACATGGTTCTATGTTGTTGTTGAGTAAGATGTTGCAGCATCTTCATCCACTGTCATAACAATTTTACTGTTATGGATTTTCAGGCAGATGTCGAATGCATATGTCATGACATCTTGATCTGGTTCTGCAGTACAACAAACACTGTTATTTTAAATCTTGACATATTTAATTTGATTCTGAAATATTTCGTTTGGATATGTTTCAGTAAATTTCACAGGTCAAGAAGATTTTATCCGGAACAAGTTTTTATATCTCCAGCTGTGCATTGGTTGCTAAATTGGGCCTTGAGACAATTTAGGAAACCTTGCATTGATTGTTCCAAGGTTTAAGGATATTTTGCTGCACAACAGATACAACTCTCAACTTGTGGATCAAGAAACTTCTAGACTCAGAATATTGAAGCCCATGGATTGAAGAAGTGTATTTAAAGAAGACCTAACCTAATGTAACCTTAATCTTTCAACAATTGTAAAATTAGGAGAAGAA